GAGAGAGAGAGAGAGAGAGAGAGAGAGAGTGAGACAGTGAGAGAAAAAAAGAGAGAGAAAGAGCAAAGGCACTCTGGGAAGGTTATAAATGCACACAGTCGACTTCTTCAATAGAAATCTCATAGATAAGAAAGACACTCCGCCATTCAGACACTATAGCTGCTAGAAGACAACAACCCTTTTCCTAATTCAAATACACTGCAGAAAGATGATCCACCTACGATTCCTTCAACAACCCACTTTGAAGTTAGATCTCAAGTGTAGATGATTGTTCTGAATGAAAAAGAATAGAGGGTAGTTTCCAATACTTCTTAATCGGAGAAACGGAAATATCATTATCAAAATCTTTTTTCAGAGTAAAAGGGCATTCATTTTTCACTAATGAAAAGTCTGCCATTGATGAAATATATGAATATTTTCAATGCACAAACGAGACCATCTTCACAAAACACCAAAAGAAAGAAAAAAATCTACTTATTTAACCATATCTGTACGTCATGTTTTACTATCTTATCCATATGACGTGGGGAACTCTGTGCTACACCTTCCAAAGAGGAAATTTACTCGTTAATCCGATCCGTACGCTTTACATAGCAGTCTATCAAAATGATTTTTGAGAAATATTGAAAGTTTCAAAGAGACCTTGGTACTAGAAGTATTCTAAAATGTGAAGATTACAACCTCGGGGGTACAAAATGACCCCAGGGCGTACGGATAGGGTTAATTGATAAAACTAATCTTTAAAGTGATGCTGATTGAGTTTTATCCTGGCTCATAAAATAAAATTGTTTTCAAGAAATGTTATTTTGCCTTTCCATCTATCATTCAAGATCAATTTTGGGGAAAAGGACAAAAGAGTTTTTAAAAAGGTTTATAAATTCACATGGGGAGATTTTACTTGCAGGGACTCTGGTGAAATCAGGCGCTCATTATCTACAAAACCAGCATTATTCTGGCAATAGGGTAATTTTCTTCGAATTTTCTTTCTTTGCTCAGCACCTTTTATGTCCATTTAAAAACATATTTCTGTGAAGATTTTACCAAAAAAACTTTGATCAAAAGCACAAAAAAATGTAAATTTGCTGATTTCAAGGACATTACAGCTGTGGATACCACTTAACTGTTACGGCCATTTTCTTCCTCATTTTAACTCTGACACCAGATGACTCACTTTTTTCAATTGCAAATCTATGAACTACTTCCATTCGAGATAGATTGGTATTTTATTCACCAAAAGCAAAACAAATAAACAAGCTTTAAGATGATAACAATAACTCCATAAGCCCAAATATTGACAAATGCATGATTCCATCGCGTCATGACACGTAATAAAGACAGTACATCAGTACAAATACAGTAAGTTATAATTAAAACAGTAATAGTACTCCCTCCCTCTCTCTCTCTCTCTCTCTCTCTCT